ATATATATAAAATAAACAAAAATAACATTCATTACAAAAGAATTATGATGATGATGAAATGTTCAGAGAAGAATCATTTCCTTAAACAACAATATATTGATTAGTCACCTTGATGATTGAATGATTTTGCAAATGAAAAAATTTGTAACAAAATGCCAAAAAAATGGCTATATTTTATTCCTAGCCATTTCTAAATAGATAGGCAAGAATTTGTAACGAGTTTACCGATAGATAATTGAAATATTGAACACCATAACAATGAACAAACATTGACGATCATTATTTACGGATAAAGTTTGTGTGTAATATGATCTTATTCATGATCATCATAAACAACAACGAAGAAAATTTGATTGAAAATTTTTCATTCCACCCATCCCAAACATCAAAATGATGAATGAATTTATTCTGATTTTTTTTTGGAACATTACCAATCAATTTTTTTTATTTTGCATTTTTTTTGTTGTTAAAATGATTTTCACATTGATAGATCATTCTGAAACATCAAGAATTTATATATTTTTTTTATGTAGATTAATAATAATTCAAAATGACAGAATATCAGACGGAAAAAAACCTATATGATTATACCTTGAGTGAATTTTTTATTATTTTCAATAATTTTTCTATTTATTGAATGTTGTCGATATTTAAATTGACATATGACATGATGAATAATTTTTTGATATGAAATGATGTTGCAAGATCACTTACACTTATACATTTCAAACAAATGGATGGAATTCTTTTTTTTTTTGATAAAAAAATCTACATATAAATAAATAAATACCCAAGTGTACATACACACATCACACACACGAATAAATATGTATTCACAATATTTATTTATTCACATATCAGGGTAATAAGTTTCGAAAGTAACAAAAAAAAAAAAAATATTGAAACAACTTGAATGGACAGATTTGAATGAACCACACTGATTAACAAAACACTATATCTTAGATATCCGGAATAGCAGAAAAAAATGTATGATATATGCGAGAAAAAACAAACTTCGGAATAATTTGTTGGTAAGTATTGATGAAATTAAAAGGCGGCAAGTCAACATTTTGCCGCTTGGTATGTTTAGTGTTTATGTGATAATTGTAACAAAGTTTTTCGTAGCGTCTGTGCCACCTATCTCAAAGAAAAAACTTTCACTATCACTCTATCTCTCTCTCTCTCTAGGGTTTTTTGCCCAAACCAAATAACTGATCAACCAGGATCTCTATCTGGGCTGAATTTGTATATGTGTCTGTGTGTGTGCGAATTCGTATGGCCATAGAGGCGCCAATCTTTCGAATGCCCCAAATATCAAAAGCAACAGTAACATTAACAATAACAACAACAACAACTTAAATCGGTAGACTTCTGCCTTTGATATTGGTTTTATTTTTCTCCGGTTCTAGGATTCTTGTTTTCCTACACATGAAGCCTTAAACATGAAAAAAAACTTTTATTATTATTATTATTATTATTTGATATATTCTATTGACGCTTCTGCGCAACAATTCAAGGCAACGCATGAACAAAATGAATGCAAAGAATAATAATAATGATAATAATAATAAAAACAAAGAAAATTTTTTTACAGGAATTTTGAATATTTTTTGTTCTTTTTCTTGCCAATACAATTTTTATCCATAAATATTCGACAAACGTAAACGATTTTCAAAATGACCGATAAATGAATTGCAAATTAGCTTATGATAATTATTTTTCGATTCGGTTAGATATGAAAAAAAATTCTACAGTCAACAGTTTTTTAAATAAATAACCAGATAAAAACAAAACATGAAAAAAAAAATTTTCTTTAAACAATGAAATTACCATTGGAGAGGAAAAAACTATTGAAACTACTTCGAAACTTGAAACTATTATATTCTGTTATGTTCTGTATGTGAAAATCTAATAATCAGAAGAAAAACTAAACAAAACAAAATTCCACACTGTCGCACTTGATTTTATTTCATTCACTTTTTCTTCATCATTTTAGTTTTTTTTTTGGCTACATTCGATTAATCTACACACCACTCTCACAATCGATTCAATAATTGTGTGTGTGGGTGTGCATTTGTCTAATATGAAAATCGGTAACCGATTCAATACATGTATTATAAACATTTTGTTCGGATGTTCATCCAATTCATTCTAATTATTGTATTATGGTTTACCATGGCCAAATAAAACTTACAATTCAAGAATTCAGGAAATTTTTTTCTTCTTTCCAATTCTTAAACAAAAACCGAGACAATTAAAACAACAACAACAACAAATACAGAATACAAATTCATCTTTTACATAAACAAATATACACATTACAAAAGAGTATATACATGCAGATCGATTTTTGTTGTTGCCATTTTCAGTATTTTTTTTTTAATTTTGATTCTGATTCTGTATCCATGTAAGCTAATGATTGAATCAAATCAACAAAAACATCAATGTGTATTCATATTCAAAAAGTCAATGAGAAACGATTGGCATATGGGCGTATATGTGTGTGTGTATATATGTGTTTATATATGTCTATAGAACATGAAAAAAAGAATCAAGAATCAAATATTGATTCAAGCGATATGGACTTGAATGCGATACTTATGAAATAGTTTTTTTTTTTGCAACATTGATAACGGAAATGCTGTTGTGTTTTTCCTGAACTATATCACTGAAAAAAACACTGTCGTTCAATAACATTATCATGATCATCATCATTTCAGATTGGTTACAAAATACAAGCATCAATTAATCATAGAATTTATTATTGATCAGATTATAAATGTTATGAGTTTGCTTTATTATTATTTTTTTATGTTTGTTGTAAATCTATATTTCCTTTCAAAGTTTATTTGCTGTTATCATAATCTATTTATATAAATAAATATGATTATAAATGCCAACAAATAGATTGTCCTTTCGATATTTGACAAACTTCTTGAAATGAAGATACTAATTCTATACACTCGGTGTTGAATAATAAGTTCACATACAATTCAAGATGCGAAAAAAAGAAAGAATTGCAACAAAAACAAATTATTCTCACATCATAAATCAATGGCACACTATCGAACAATTTTTGTTTTCATATTTTTTTACATTTTCAATCCCAAAATAATTTATTGTCCGATTACAGTGAATACTAACTAAAATATTCATATTATTTGAAAAAACAAAACAAATCAAATTAAAAATTATGATGGTAACTAAAAAAAAAAACAAAAAAATATTCTGTTCGCCAAACACATGTTCAGAAAATCATCATCATCATCATGGTTGGAAAATATTCTATGATCAATAGAAATGAGAAACAAAAAAGTTTTTTTTTTCATTGTTTGATTTTCAAATATATATTATTATTTGTATTGCAAACAATTTGCTCGTTAAAACAACAACATTAATAATAATATTAAAAAAAAATTACTGAAACCAAACTGAACTTTATTGGTCAAACTGGAATTTTTCATTATTATTTGAAAATGAAAAAAAACAAATAAATTTAATGTTATTCATGCATCACGTATAAAGTTGCAAACAGCAACATCAATCTAACGGTCTCGTATATATAGTTAAAATTGAAATTGAAAACAAAAAAAAAAACAAAATTGTGGATATATAATTTAAATAATTAAAGATTATTCTATTCATTCATCATCATCACCGAACATCGTTTGAGCAAGAAAAAGAAACCTTTGTCATTTGACTTAATAGAAAACGAATTCTGTCCGTTTTTTTTTCTCTCTCTCTTTCTCTCTCTCTCTCTCTCTCTCTCTCTCTCTCTCCTTCAATTAATGAGTAATTTTTTTTNAAAAAGAAACCTTTGTCATTTGACTTAATAGAAAACGAATTCTGTCCGTTTTTTTTTCTCTCTCTCTTTCTCTCTCTCTCTCTCTCTCTCTCTCTCTCTCTCTCTCTCTCCTTCAATTAATGAGTAATTTTTTTTGTTACTTTCTATTTTTCTTTTCATTTTTAATTTGGCAATCAAATTAAAGTAAAACAAAAAAGTAATGAAATTCTGCTAGCCAAAAATGACATTGTGTAAAAGTCTAAAAATTGTTTCTGAAAAAAAAGAAGCAAGAAGAAAAACAAAGAATAGATCAAGTTGACAAAATGAAAGATTTAGGTATATTTTTTTTCTTCTCAATATAAATCGAAACAAAACAAAAAAAAAGTTTCATTATTGTAAGAGAATAATTTATCGTTGAAAAGAAAAAGAATGAATTTCTTTAAAATTTTATTTTTCTTCCTGTGTGATCGACGATATAAACTGAACGGGAGAGAGAAAATGAGAAAAGAAGGAAAACAAAAACCATAGCTATCTCAATTCTATTTTTCAGGTATCCAATGAAGAATGATGTTCGGTCACACGGTTTTCTTCTGATGGTTTGGCCAATTTTTTTCCTCATAGAAGAATAAATAAAACATTTTTAAATTTCTAGAAATGCTAGAAACAAAACGAATATAAAAACAAATGGAAAAAGTCAATGAATTAGAAAAGTAAATAAATTTTTTTCTTCTTGAATTTTGTGCAATTTTCATTTTATTTCATTTTATAGGAAAAAGAATAATTAATTTTTTTTGCTGATTCCAGAAAAATTATTAATTAATTATCATTTTGATTCGCTCTAATTTTTAATAATTAAAATTTTTTATTTGGATTTGGATTTCGATTGGTTTGATTACATATTTTTGAAGGAATCGATTATAGAATTGGATCAAATGGCCACAAATTTTCTTCGTTTTTTGTTGTTGTTGTTAGCCATATAAGACGTGGTTGTTCGATCATTCGCAATTATGGCCATAAAATCTACATCATATATGTGATTAACATTAACAGAATCGAAATACAATTATGATCAAATGGGATAACTTGGTAATACATCTCTCACACATACACAAAAGAAACAAAAAAAAAATTATGTTCCATCAACATGACTAACACGTATGAAAAATAAAGATGAACAAAATGAAACAAAAAACTATAAGATTATCAAACATTTTTGGCCCGAAAAAAATCATTTATTTCTGTGTTTTTCTTTTTCGGGATAAACCCATCAATAATAATGATTAGCTATTGTTTTGTTGATGTGTTAGCCCCATCCATCCAATGTTCGATCAATTGTTTTTGAACATCGTCAAAACTACATAATCGTTCCAATATGGTCCAACCTTTTTTGGCTGTTGTCAATAAATATTCGTTGTCGGGTTGAAATGAATGTGTATAGGCCCCCAAGGTAAGAGATTGACTTAATCGTGCTCGAGCACAGATCAATATTTTGTAAATATCATGATTGTCCAATGGTATCAAGCTACAATATCCATTTAATACAAACTTTGGAGCATCAAGAATGCTATCAAAATCAGTGTCTAATAGCATAACATAAGCAATAAAAATTGCAATATCAAATATAAGAGGACCATAGAATATATCGCCGAAATCAATAAGTCCGTATATTCGATATGCATTATTGATTTTGCGAACAATAATGTTTTGTTCATTAAAATCTCCGTGCAAATATGATTGTTTCATCGAATCGAATGATGATAAAATTATTTGTTCAAAATCTTTAACACAATTTGAAACTAATTCATTATGAGAAGGATTTTTTATATAGCTAAGATAATCATACAATTTTGGAACATTTGCTAAACTCCAGAAGAATTTTCTTGTACGAATAACTTTATTGTCAAATTTTTCCAACGCCAAATTGATTTGTGCCAGATATTTGCCACAATCAATGAGTAGCTGTCGATCAATCGATACATTATATAGAATAATTCCTTCCACATAAACAAATAAACGAATCGCAAAAGTTTTTGCCGAATTGATTGTTGGATTATTATTCAAGGGTAATTGAATACGAGCCAAATAATCTCCATTGATATTCTTGATTGGACAAGGAACATTGAAATTTTGGCTTGAAAGAAATAAAATCATATCATTTTGGCCATCCAATAGACCTGGCTGTTCACTATCATGTGAATTGGTTATTTTAAGCACGAATTTATCACCATTACTAATGTGAACAATAAAATTACGATCATCATAACTATTCAATTGTTTAACACGTTCAACATGAATATCGTAGAATGTTTTACACAATGTGATTATATCTTGATCACAAAGTAATGGTGGTTTTGTTTGATCATTTTGTTCACCATATTGTTGTTGTTCCATGTTTATTATTATTATTCGAAAAAATGATGTAAATTATTCATCTATATTGCATAATAAAAAGAAAAAAATTGTATGATAACTACCGGAGAATAAACATGAGATGATCATCATTATAATAGAATAAAAATATATTATTTTATGTACATGAATATACCTAAAACAACAAATACAAGCTGTTTATTGGTACTTGTCGCAAGAATGTTCAAATGACGATCAAAAATTCATTTTGGGTATACACACTATCACTTCACATATGATATACATTGTTTTGGACAAATAATTGAATAAAAAAAATAAGGGTTCTAAAATAGACGATACAATTACAACGACAATAATATATACCATTAAAAAGAAATAGAAAAGATCAAACAACAACAATAAAAAACGATTTAAGAACGAAAAAAATCAAGATGATGCATTCAATAAAATAAAATTAAAAAACGTAAAGAAAAGAAAACAATACGAAAGCATCTTAACATTTTCATTGAAATCTATCATCAATGCAGTATACTTTTGTGAACCAAGGGAGCTTGTTTTTTTGTTTGGTTCCCTATCGTTTCGACTTTGTTCTGTCTATTTGTTTTTTTTTTGTTTGAAATCCTTAAAGAAGAAGGAGACAATTTTTCTATATTGTTCAAATGATTAGGAACTATTGAAAAATGAATGAATGAATGAAAAGAGTATATATTACCCATGTTTCGTATTTATCAAAAAAATTTTCTTTTCATTTTTTCCCTGTTTATATTATTCAAATTTTTTTTTGTTGATAAATTGACAATTGTTAACTGTAGATAATTTATATATATTTGCACATCAATTTCAATTGACAAATGTATGTGTGTGTGTGTGTTTTTTATTGATAATATAATGAGAAATAATATGAATTTTTGATCAATATCCTTATTAAAAAAAAACTACTACTACTACTATATTGACAATATTAAATTATGATCATCATTGATATATGTTTGTTTGTTACAAATATTTATAATGTGTAATTTATTATATGAAAATGGTCTCTGATCTTGTTTGAATTTTTTTTTTCATTTTCAAACAAAGAACAAAAAAAATGCACATCAAACATTATCATAACTAATCAATGATAATAATAATAAAATGAACATAGAATTTAGTATTGTCGACAAGATTATGTATAATTCATTTATAACTAAAAAGAAAAAAAAATTCTTTATTATTTTTATTATTAGACATATAAGATGTTTCCAAAATAAATGTAACATTTCGGGAAAAAAATAACTTTTTTTTCTTCTTCTTCACATAAAAACATTTTTCAACAACGATATATGAAAACCGATGATCATATATAATGGATAGGCAAGAACAAAAAAAAAAAATGATTTCATAGTGATTCATTCTTTCACTATTTTTTTGTTTTTGTTTCCATCTCTTGCTGGCTTTTGTATATCCAAATAAACAATGTATAGGCAAATTCAAAAAAAAATCTCTGAAAATTTTAATAAAATTCTGATTAAAATGATTACCAAACACACACACACACACACAGACCCACCAAGCAACACAACAAACCTAAATACATTATTACACGTACCATAACATTCAACCAAACAAACAAACAAACAGAATATTTGAATAAAAATTCATAAATTCACAATTTAAATGAAAATTTTTTTGTTGCTTTACTTTGTTTTCAAAAAAAAGTTTCTGTTTATTATCTTTTTTGATGATGTTTGAAAGATGAAACTATGAAATGAATGAAATTAGTGAAAGAAAATCAAAAACAACAGCTTAATAATAAGAAATTACAACATATTGTTTATTTTATAACCGAATGAATCGGATTTTTTTTGTTGTTGTTGTTGTTTGAATAAATTTTTAAGTTTCAAATATTCATTCTTTTTAATTTTGTTTTCCATTATATAATAATGGTGAACAAAATTTGGTTGAATCTAAAACAAAGCGAAACAAAAAAAAATTTCTTTGTTTTTTCTTTCTGTATTTAGCTAAACAGAGAGAATATACACACATCAATTACATACCTGAATTGATGTTTATTTTTTTTGATACATAGTATGGATGGAGAGCTAAATTATTCCCTGTTTATTTATTTTTATCATTTTGTTTTTGTTAAGAGTTGAAAAGAATTTGAAAACTGAATCGACCATTTCCTGTTAATTCATTTTTTTCGTTTAGTTTTAATATACCTGAATCTATTAGAACTTCATGTAACAAATTCTCTTTTGTTTGTGTCATTGTAATGTAATTAAAGAATAAACGAAACGAAAAAAAATTCCAGTGGAATAAAGTTGTTAGTTCAAACAAACAAAAAACATTCAATACAAAATTTGTATTGCAATTTAGATTCAGTAGTTGTGGTTGAGATGTTATGAAACAAAAATTTTTTTCTAGTTTTTTTCCACATGAAAAAATTCTATACCCATTGAATCAAACAAGTCGATTTCCGTTAAAAAAAACAGAACAGCAAAGCTAATTTGATCAACTACTCTAATCACGCACACGACTTATTCGATGAAAAATTCATGATGATCAAATAACAGTGAAATCATTATTGAAAAAAAATTCCTCATACCATTCATTCAATCGAATATATGATATATTTGCGGGAAAAAATGTAATTAAACCTGCATACACTATGCATGCATAGCCATCTGGCGAAAATAAAAAGAAATATATATTTTTTTTTTGATTTTTATCCTATTTGATGATAATAAAAAGCAAAATAAATACAAAATTTTGTAATAGAAAATATGATAAATGAACCTAATAGGAAGTGTGTGTGTAGTTGCATGCATATATTATTTACAAACGAACTACTCAATCAATATAAAAATAAAACACCTTGTCACATAAAGATATTTAAATCAGAGAAGTTGGTATAAATGAATGAAACATTGAAACATAAGGAATGTTTGGACCATTAAAATGACCGATCGATGATCGAGGAGAATCAATCAATAAATGGCGAAGTTTGTTACGTTGTTCATATTCTGATTTATCATTGATTGGTTGCATTTCTTGAGGTAATTGATGATCATTATTATAATTTCTAAAATGATTTCTATGATGACCATTTTGATAAAAATGTGGATTAATTTGTCGATGAATATGATTGTTTGATTCAAATGTATCATCTATATCAATCTCATTGTTATCAATAGCATCATCGATGTAATTATCTTCAAAATCATCTTTTTTATGACATTTATAAAGGAAATTAATTTTTTCAATATCTAATTCGGATGGACAATCAAGTCCACGACAACGTAAATAAGGTACCGGACGTTTTGGTAGGATGGTTGGTTTACGATTTTTTGAGAATGCATATTGTCGATAATGCATAACAGACATTAGATCGTATGGAAATCCATGATCAGCCAGATAATCAGTTTCATGTTTACGAAAATTTCGTTTAGCAGCTAAGAAATAAAGATTTTTTTCTTGGTTTAGATCTAAACAACAAATACTAATAAAATAGATGCTCACTCGATTTGATATTGTTCCAAACAATTTCCACATGTTCATCTCTATCTGGTCGTGATTGTTCATGAATAAAACCGACCGAATGCATTAATTCATGCGTGACTGTTTCGATGCCATAGCAACCTTGTCCAAGTATAACCCATTGTTGTCCACCAATTTTACCTACGTGTGCTGCACAGCCTGGACCACGTTTTATTAGAACATAATCATGATCGTTTTGTTTTTTTGGTACAAAACGTATACATGTTCTTTCCTGCAATATCATCATACCACGGGCAATAGCAGCTCGTTCTTGATCGGTAAATTTATTCTCCATTACATAAGGAATGCGACCGTATGGCCATCTTTTAGCAGTATACATTGCAACCTTTCATTAGCGGAAATTGATTAATTTTTATTTTTATTTGATAAAATCATTATATTTAACGGAAAATAATACTAACCTTTTTCTCATCACTTTCTTGTATCATCATATCACCTTCATAATAAGTATAATGCATCTCTGGATCATTTAACGGCATTATAACTGAAGCTTTTGGTTCCGTTTCACTGAATGACATGTTTTGTGCTCGATAAAAATCATCGGACGATAAAAAGGTTGTATCAACAGCACCGTTAAAAATGTTGTTTTGTTGATGAAAACGTCTCACTGTTGACATTGGATAGATGAAACTTTGAATAAGTATTTTTTTTTTGTTACAATAGATATTATAAATATGGATTGTTGCTATTATTTTACTAAAGATAATATACACTACAATTCAAATAAAGCTAACACATTTGTATGGTGAATTAGATCATTGGATAAATAGCTATAGATTTTTTTTTTTGTTGAAGGGAACTGTTTGATAATATACAAACAAACAAAAAAGTAATTGCCTAATTGTTTTCAAATAGCTAAATTTGAAAGTTATTCATATTGGATATAATTACTATTCTAGTAACGAAGAAAAAAAATGAAAACCCTAATTAAAAGCATTTGTTATATTCATTTTAACAAATAAAAACGTTTAATTTTATTTGTTTATTGTTAAAAGTTAAACTTGTTTTTTGTTTTACCTTTTCGATAGGAATAAGTTGGAACAATCACTAAAAGGATGGCGATTGTATGAAAGACTAGCATTTGCATAGTGTTACGATTATTATTTTTTCATCAAATTGGAAAAAACAAAAATCAAAATGATTTGAGGCACGATGATCAATTTCGAATTGTCGTTTAAGGAATCAATATCGAAAACTTTTCGATAAAATAAATCAACAAACAATGATGACGATGATGATGATGACGATGATGATGATGATGAAGACAGAAAAAATGGTCAAACAAAATAATTATCGAATATCATGACATCCAGATTCGTTTCATGAAACAATATGTATCACATTTGTACAACAAATAAAGAAAGAGACAGTAGATGATTGAAACATATCAAAACAAAACAAAAATCAATCGTCACCAATCCCAATCGACGATCAATTCGATTGTGTTCCCATTTGGATAAACAAATGATATATGTTTGATGTTTAGTAAAGTTTGTCGTAATTTGGTTGAGACAATTTATTTGTTCAAAATATATTCATTTGTCGACCAGAAGCTAAACAGAGACAGTGATATATCAGACTATGACATCAATTTTTTTGTTGTGTTTCCAAGACAAAATATCATTGGTGACATTTCGGGTCAATAATAGGCTTTTGAAACAAAAACAAGAGAAAAAAAATAGAGTAACAATTTGGGTCCGTTTGTTTGTTCCCGAATGATAACAAAGATGAAAATTAGAAAAAGAAAAATGAAAAGAGAAACTTGTGCTGACATGTTCTTTTTTTTTCACTCGACATAATCGGTCGCAACCGAATTGTCTTTTTTGTTTGATGATTTTTTTACTGTTCTTTCCTTTATTCATATAAACACCTTTGTTGTTTCAAACACGTTAAGAGATAACATGAACTCTATGACTTTTTTTTCGTATCGAAAATCTTTAATAATCATATAATCATATAAGTACCAATGCCAAATCATTGAGGGCTCAATTTTGATTTTTTTTGTTTTTCATGTATTTTTTTCCAAATTAATTCATTCAAGTCGGTGTCAAGGTGTCAAATCACAATTTCACGCGTTTGATGATAATCATTATCCACATTATTAATGTTTCCTCCCCTAACACACACGCACGCACATTGAAAAAGAGTTGTTTTTTTTCCCGAAAACAACAAAAAAATCATTATCAATAATATTGTGTATAACCGAAATTCTATATGGCAATTACTTTTTAGTTTGCATAGTCATTTTTAGTTTGATTGATTTTAAAATATATATTCGATTAATATATAATGATTACCCAAAACGTTCATTTCATACTGTTTTTAATTAATTAAAGATTTATAATAATGATAATAATAATTTCATCATCGTCATCATCATCATTATTTCAAAGAATGCAGAACATTAAGGAAAAATGTTTGTTTGTTTTTTTTTGTTACATATCAAATATTCAATTTATGTTTATTTGTCAATCAATTTAAATGGGAAAAAACGGTATACAACTTTTATTGAATTCAATAAATAATAAATTTCAAAATAGTATGGATCATTTAAATGGATGATATAACACTTTTTTTATTGATTTTTAATTATTATTATTTGATAATTATGGTTCAGATATTGTTGTTTAGGTCAAAAAAAGGGGAGAAAAAAGAGAGAAAAATTATAAGCAACAATGGAAACAATAACAAAAAATAAGAAATAATATCATGCAAATAGTTAGTTTCGAAAGAGTTATTACACAATATATAATTGAATTAAAATATTTGTTGAATGAAAATATTTGTGGACAATATTCAATGATAAATAAATGTTCATTTCCGTGTGTTTGTATTCGATGTTTTTGTCGTTTTGTTTTTAAATGAAACTTCAAAATTCAATACGAATTCGATTCGTTGAGAACAACAAGCAAACAAACAGAAAAATTAGTCATGGCAAAACCTATTGAATTGTAGAATTTAAAAAAAAACAACACTATGCAATATTTTGGGTGTGAATAAAAACTAGGTGAATAATGTATTACATAACACGTGTATTGTATTTTTTCAAATAAAAATTTTTTACTTTGATCAGCTCTTCATCGATGTATCGATTTTTTTCCGCTGTTCCATTATTGAACAATGAATGTTTAGCATGTTGTAAGCAACCAAAATCATGTAATCACAAAAAAAATCGTTGTTTTTCATAATATATTAATAATTGAATGAAAAACGAGTTAAAATTGAAATTCAATCAGGCGTAAAATTTGTTTTGTTTTCGCGCTTTCTTTTTTTGTTTTGGTTTTGATAATTTGATATTAGGTTTCAATGTGAAGATGTGGCAAACATACACAAACACACAACCAATATTCTTGTAATAGTTTTATGTAGTTTTGTTTCGATTCATGATCGGAAAGAAAACAATATGTTTGAGTTGAAAAATTTTACTAAAATTATTATTTTTTAAAAATCTTTGGTCAAAAATAATCTAAAATACTGAAAACAAACATAACTATTTCTCAAAGTAACATGAATGTGTCTCAATGTGTTTCAAATTCAATGTGTTTTGTTTGGAACATTAGAAGATTAAAAAAAACATTGGAATTAAAAGGTGGAAAACATTTTGTTCACTCAATAAAATAGTTTAGATGGACAACGAGAAATTATAAATGTGGGATGAAAATAAAATTTTCTAAAAGTCACTCGATTCACAACCTTAATAATTAGTTTGACTTTTGTGATTCCTGTCAAGAAAAAAAAAACACTAATCAATTGATCCATTTTGGATGTTCATAATAAATAATGAATTGAACTATCAATTCCAAACTACATTTGGATCCCAAGTGTTATTTGAATTGGAGGCAAAATTTTCGTTATCGTTGGTATTCCAATTGCCTTCCATTCGATTGTTTATCGGTTTAGATTGTTGAAGATGATTTTCTGATTGATCAACATTATGTCTTGAAACCGAACGAGCGATTGGGTTGGTCGGTACACCATGCGGTGCTAAAGCACTTGAATCATTGATCGTGATCACCGGATCTTCGATAATTTGTTCTTCAAATTTGTAACCTTCATTTTTGCGATAATAATTCAAATGAACGAATAATCCTAAAACTGCGGCGCAAATTAGACCGTAGAGAAAAAAAGTAATTCTAGAACCTAAAATTCAAAAAGTTAAATTTAATGAATCTATGAATGAAAGAGAGCGAAAAATAAATACCGAAACGATTTATGATAACACCACCAAGAAGTGAACCACTTCCTCTTCCTAGTCCTTGATAAATGCCTTGCATTACACCTTGAGCAGAAGCACGAAGCTCAAGTTCAGTATTTTGTGTCATATAACTGCAAGCAGCTGCCCAAACTGTTGCATGTGTCACACCTGATATTAATGTTTGAAAATTATTTATTACTTTATTAGAGATAATGATTAGGTCAACTAACCTTGGATAAGTTCAAGAGGCAAAACCCACCAGGGATTATCAAGCCAAGAAATATATATGAAGCGGAAAGCATTACAAAGTAGGCCAAAGCACAACACTTTTGTATGACCAAAACGTTGTATTAAATTAATACTAAAGAAATAAGCCCCAATTTCTGATATGTGGTTGATCACCGAAGCATAGCCATAAAGCGTTGGCGTTCCACCAAGATCTTGTAGGTGCCAGAACAAAAATGTGAAAACTAATCCGACACCGAATCCCATCAACCAAGTGACCAATAAGAAAGCCAATTTACGCGAATCATTCATCGATCGCAATACAGCAACCCAACTGGGCAATGTACGAGTTCGTTGAGCGAACACAGCGCTCTTCCAACGATCAATAATCTCTCCTTTTCGATTTTTTTCTTGAAATTCTTTTGGTATGTTTATAGCTGGAGCCGTATTCTGCCATGGTTTTGGGCCGGGCTCATTTTCATATGAATTTAATTGTATTTCGTTGGAATATTCAGGTGACTCTTCGAATTTAAATTTGGTAGCTATCAATAGAGTGCACGACATAAGAAAAGCAAAAATCGAGAAACAAGTCACATAATTTCTTTCGCCACTATGTGGATCACACGGGTGATCTTTAAATTTTGTTGAATTATCCAAAGCCATTCCCACCAATAACATGGTGATGCCCCAACCGAATGATCCATACATTCGCTGCTGACCGTATTTGTCAATATCTTCGCCTAAATAATCCAACGTAGCGCTATCAGCCAATGTTATGGCTGGAGCACTCAAGAATTCACCCAAAACTATCAACAACAAAAGAAGGAAAAACACTTCTTTGACATCTTCAAGCTTGTAAACAATTGTAGAGAATGGAGGTGATAAATATGTTACATGTTTCTCTTGGTTATAATTGAGAGCATATTCTACAGTCAATGGAGATTTTCCAACTACATGATTCGGTGGTAATTTATGTTTGATATTTTGAGAAGCATCTATAACGTTTGTCAATAAAAAAAAGTTATACAATCAAATATTGTCGAATAATTAAAGCCAAACCTCTTTTAAAGCGAAAATTTTGATTGGTAACAAACGTATCGGATTCACTAACAGAATTTGATATGACCGAACTATTTGGAATGTATTCTTCGGTTGTAGGCAACAATGTTGAGGTATCATCATATACCTCTTCTCCTGGTGTGTTACTGTATGGTGTATATAATATATGATGAGTTTCATTGAATATAACGCAAGCCGATGCTGGTGGACGAATAAAAGCCATTGCGAAAGTGAATACTATCCAACATCCTAATGAGAACAGCAGTATAACTTTGGATTTATGAAAACGATCAGCTATGGAAGACCAAAATGGTGCTGCAATGAATTCCACAAATGGTCTTATGCCAACCAATGTTCCTACATTGAGAATTGAATAATTCAAATTTGATAAGTGTGGACAAAAACGAACGTTTGAAATATCTTACCTGCTTGTATCGGATTCATGCCAAGTTGTTTGAAATAAACTGCCATCAATGGGAATAAGGATCCAAATGCAGAATAGAAGAAAAAGTAAAACAATTTGGATATGAATAGATCAGGATTAATTTGAATCAAAATCTGATTTATTGTTGGATTAGTAATGAATGAAAACGGTGGCAGCCTTTCGCCTTGTCTTCGACTTGCAGCAACAGAAACAGTTGCACCACCACCATCCGCATTATCACTAATGATTGTTTGAGTTTGTTCTGGATAGCTTGTTGACGCTTGCGGCTCTTGTGCGACATTCCATTGACCAGATAATGATGAATCCATGGTCATCGATGGATCCTCATACTGTCCACGAGGAAATTGGCTGCTCATTTTCCAACTAAAATAATCAAAGCAAAGGTTAATATCTTGGTTCAACTTAATCAATGCGATAATTTCTGCTTACTGAATTGATAAGTTTCAAGTAATAATGTTATTGAACTATCACGATAGAATTATCGAATTTGTAATAAATGTTTCGAATACACCTGATGAAAGTGACCCAACGATGATGTCTTTTTATTTCCGAATACCATAATCGCATCAACACCGACTCCTTTGAAAAATCGATTGGATTGATGGAACACTCGCTTCAACCTTTGAGTTTCTTTCATTTTGCTATCAAACTATAGTTGTTTCTATATATTTAATTCAAGTCAAGAATTTGCACCGGCGCGATATTTTTTTTTGAATATAATTCAGTGCTGAAATTTCAATCAATAATATAATGGAATGTAACAGAATTGAGCGATTCTGCGATATATATACATTACAGTTTCAAAGAATTTATTCGATAACTTGCATGGTATAAATTTTTTTTACAAATGAAACGGATAAATAGAATTGATACTACCGGGAATTGATTTTATTTTGTTTATAATGATAAAATTGTAATCAGATATTGTATTGTATACTTTTTTTCAATCAAAAATATTGAATATCATCATTATCATGACAGAAAAAGTTAAAAGCATGTTATTTCAATGATGCAATTTCAGTCTAACTTGATGATGAACTAACGTTGATAGCATTCAAAAACAGGATCTTTTGGGCGTCTTCACATTGATGTATACATCTGTGTATGTGTATAGAACATAGTCTCTTTATTGAGCAACAATTATCTAAACTATAGTGACAACTGATTCAAAACTTTAAACACACACACACACACAATTGATGCCTACGCCAAGTGCTGTGTTTTGGAATTGTGATATTGGTCAGACATGAACGCATATAAACAACAATTGATAGAAAAATCTGTATATGGAAATAATATACACATGAAACATCGATATTATTGAATTACATGCAGCTTACGTATATATATATTCTTACGGGATTTCGAAAACGGATATTATTTCTATTTTATAACACATATAATATTTAGAAATAAATTCCTCTACCTTTTAAAATTTGATAAGAAAAATTAGTCATACGATCGTTTATCATGATGGAAATTCAAGATGTTCATGATAGTGAGGTAAGTGTAAATATAAAAATAATACGATCTTGATTATTTTCATTTTCCTTTTTCCGTTTTGTTCACAATAGAAACCGTTACAGCCTGATAGAACAACAAGACGACGAAAAAACATGGGATTCTGGTCGAAAACAATGTTTCAGCGAATATTTTTACAATCGCTTTGTCGATTGATAATCTATTTGAATAAGATTTACCAAGATTTTGGAGCTGTTAATACTTATCATTCTGAACATGCGCCATATTTTGAAATAATTTCATTACTTTGTTTAATACTTCCATCAATGGTATTCGCCATTTATCAAAGTTTTGCCGAATTTATCAAGAATGAAAATTTCACCGCCAAGGCTATCATCACTAAATTTGTAAATGGATTATTATTGATGCCATGGCAAATAAAAAGGTATTTATGAAATTATTTTCTAAATTAGGTTCGAAAATTAACAAATCATTTTTTTAAAATAAGACATTTGGATGGTCTTTATTTTTCATCCCAAAATCTATGTTCATTCCGGCCAGCTAAAAGTGATGAAAAGGAAAATCTTCTTTTCGTGAATCGTAATGCAGAAACATTGGAATTTTTTGAAGATTTTTATGCTGGATTCATTCAAGTAGTCATGCAGATTTATATTCTTTCAGTCGAAACAAACAACAAATATTCATTTAGTAATATTTTATTCAAAAAAAAATTTTGCATTATTCTTATATTTTTATTTTTCATTTCAGTTATTGGAGAAGTAATCGGTTCGGCTTTGTCGATTTTTTCAATGCTAATTGCCATCCGCCGAAGAGATGATGGAATTCTTACTGGTACTTTTAATCTTTTCCTAATCTGATCAATTCTGATGTAACTATTCTGAATTATATCTAGGTTTCTTATCCTTGATAGGATGGACATCAATGTTCACAAGTCGTATCTTAGTGTTTGCTTTAGCTGCTATCATCATCAAACAGTGGATCATTCTCTTATGTTTAATTCATGTTATTGGTTTCACCATTTGGGTTTATATGATTGCAATGGAAGCATTGGATGCAGATCCACATGCTGATCGATCAAAGAAACGTGGATTCGGTACTATTGTTTTAATTTTCTTTTTCTTCGGCCTTCCATCATTGGTTATGTGGCCTTACATGTTTCATCTTAAAGAAAAACAACGTCCATTGCGATTTTTATCCGTTGCCTTTATCGAGAATCTTATTCTTGTTTCATTATGGTATGGTCTTCATTCAAATCAAGCAAAAACGGATATCTATTGGTTAATGGCTGTAATTATAACTACAACTATGGCAACCTTATTCCTATCATTATATTTCTGTTGTAAACCATCGAAAGTTGATCAAGTTGTTTTACATGATATGCGATATACCGATACAGATTCGTATGGTATTTATTTCGAATTTTGTGACATTGTTTTCAACTTGACGGTAGAAAAAGAAGTTAAAGAATTGTTGGAAATTGTTCGAGAACAACCAGAATTGACTCATCCACGTTACCGACAGCAGCAACAACAACAACAGCCGCAACAACCTCAGGTAGATCAGCCTACATCCTTGACAAGTGATCGACAGTCACCATGAACAATTAAAATTTGATTAAAAATCCATTCATTTATATAAGATGTGATACACCAAAGGTAGTTCATCACAGAATTTTCATTTAATGTATATAAATTCTAAAGAAAACGCATAAAAAATACTCTTACATTTCATTAATTTTCCCATTAAATATATTTTGTTCCTTCAACAATTTCAATTAAATTTTTTTTTTACTTTCGATGTATAAATCGATCATCATTTCATCATTAAATCAGCTCCTCCCATCAAATAACTTTCTCTTTATATTCATCCTCCTCCTCCTTCTCAAATAAGAGTGATGTTCTTGTTTTCTCAGTGGTATTTATACCCAAAACAGAGGATAACCAGTTTTTTTTCTGATTATATTTAATTTCGAACGCATATACATGCTTGCACTGATGGTGTGGGAAATTACATAAAATGTAGAGAGAGCTGTAACGTTTCAAAGAGAAAGAAAAATAGAGAAAAGATTTTCTGATGTTTTTTTTTTTTAAACTGGTAACCAAATGGCAACATGACACGTACATATGCGACGATATTTGTGTAGAAAACTTGCGTCTGATATATTGTTTGATTATTTTTTTTATTATTTAGATTCAGTTTGTTTGAATAAATTTAAAATACTTGTGATCAAAGAAATTATCATTACTTTGATTAAAATTAGACAGGCTTATAATCATTACTAAACATTTCATTTGATTGACTGATTAATATCAAGTGATTAAGAAGTACCCAGTGAAATATCAAAGATCGAATCAATTCATATCAATATATCAATTATTATTTTTCTGATCATTCCATTATATATCGATCATAAATAAGAAGGTATGTTATTTTTCTGTAAATCGAAAAAAACATATTCATTCATTTTCATCTCATGATCGGTTAAACTAGCACTAAACAAAAAATGGCACAGGAAACAAAAACCTATACATTGGCTGAAGTTGCCGAACATAATGAAAAAAAATCCGTTTGGATCGTCATCCATGATTGTGTTTATGATGTGACTCCATTTCTTGATGAGGTTAGTTATTTTTTTTGGTGAAAATTGTTCCTTAATTTTTTACAATAATTTTTTTCAGCATCCTGGTGGCGAAGAAGTTCTAATCGAACAGGCCGGTAAAGATGCAACCGAATCATTCGAAGATGTTGGCCATTCTACTGATGCTAGAGATATAATGAAAAAATATAAAATTGGTGAATTATGTGAGGTATGTGTGAAAAAAATTTTCATTATATCAAGGATAATAATCTTTATTTTTTTTCCTTGTTCTCAAATTGTTTTTGTAACAATACATAATATATAGGCTGATAAAAAGAAAACAAAAAAAGTTGAGGTGAGTAACCAATATTTGTTTTGCATGTCATTTTTTTTCCTCATGGAGCATCTTAACATCTTAATTATCGATTAACAACATTATTTGATTAACAATTGAATTCATAATTTTTTCGGTGAGAACAATAGTTAGTTATGGTGGTGGAGGGGAGATGTATGAGATATTTTTATCACAGGATTCATATTTTCATTTAATCATGCATGTTTCGATTTTTCTAATTGGCCTTTTAAATCATTTCCCAAACAAACAAAAACATTTTGCATATGACTAACTTTGTTTTTTGTTATTCTCTATCCTGCCCTGTTTTTTTTGCTTCAAAACTCTTTTCATTTTTTTCAACATTATAAAAATTTATCTATAATCTGATGACCGGATTATTTTTGAAACAAAACAAAAAAATTAGAAACCGAACAAAGATGGACCAGAAAAAAAGAACTGTATTGTCATTTAGCATGATGACAGTTAATAATTCATTCTATCTACTATTATCGATTTGCAAAACTTCACTATCTATATTTAAAAAAAAAAAAAATTAAAATTATTAAAAGATTTTATTGCTTTTCTTGAAAAAAATAAATTTTATTTTATTTTTTAAACATTTACAAATATTAAATAAACTAAAGAGGAAACAAAAAAAAAGAATAAGAATGGGAGTTGATATTAATATAGTAAGATAGATCATTAAAATCAATTTTTTTTGTTGCTGTTATTGTGTATCCAAATGATGATGATGTTAAATATTAATAATTATCCATATATACCCAATATGTCTATGTATATAATTCATATTCAATCAATCAATCAATGATTGAATCTGAATGTTTTTTTAGGAAAAAACAATTTCATGGTCCGATCCAAAAACGAATGGTTCATCAAACGATTGGATGACTTGGACGATTTCCATTTTGATTGCATTGGTTCCAATAGTTCTATATCGAATGGGCTATTTTGGTTCTACCGATTGAAAATAGTGTTCAAACAGTGAAAAAGAAACAACCAACTTTATTTTTATCTATTAAAAAAAAATACCTACTATTCTCAATTAATAAAATTATCATCAACTATAGTGAAATAATGAAACAAAAACATCAATTTTGTTCGCCAATATTCTGATTACAATTGTTTTATTTTAATTAAATTATAATTACACATCATCATCCGGCTGTCAATGATGTGATGTGTTAAAACCAGAGAATAAAAAAATTGTTAAAAATTATTGAAATAATGAAATAAAATTCTGATAAATAATTAATGTGAATATCGAAATTTTTATTATTATTGTTCAAAATATAAATGATTAATCCAATAGAGAAATAATAATTTAGTGTTTAGATTTTTTTGAGGAAAACAAAATGATAAACTGATCCAAATCAGTTTTTTCTAATTCGTTTTGTTGCTATTCCACATTCGATTCGAATTGTACTTTGATGCACTGAACGGAAAAAAAGTACAAAAATACATTTGTTGCCAATATTTTTGTTCAAATGATAGTGATTAGCTGTTGATGTTCGATAAAAATTGTTTGCAAATAATAATGATAATGATGATGAGGATGAGATGAACCGAAATATCCAACATTGATATGACTTTCCAAACAGCTTCCAATATGTTGATTATCTGATAAATTTTGAGAAAGAGAGAGAAAGGGAGAAGACAGATCTGCAAAAGAAAACTGGTAAACCTAAAACTAAGGTATAATATTTTGAAAAATCCTGATTTTTCAGAAAATACAACCTACTATATATTCATTCGATACCTAGATTTTTCCTTTTCTGATTTATGATTAATAAACCCTATTTGTTAGAGCAAAAACTGAATATATATCAAAATAAAATGGTGAAGAAACAACGAATGGAAGTATGAATAAGAATGGTCGATTAATGATTAGGCTTCAAATTACAAAGATATTTTTCTCTCCATCTTTCAATGACCTTTGGGTGACCCGATAAAAGAAAATGGATCGATGAATCAACTTATCTTCTACGAGGTGAAAATCGTCTACGATCAGGAGAACGCGACCGTGAATATCGTGATTGATTACGTCGATATACAGGACTATGTGAAGGCTTACGGCGAAAATTTATGGGAGAAGTTCTTCGAATACGATTCTGGAAACAAAAAAAAAACAACTTGATACAATTGTATTAGCAATGAAAAAATATTTACCATATCACGAGACATAGGGGCAGGATGAAGAGGAGGTGAAGATTTACGTGCAGACATTTCCATACGCTGTGCTATTCTTGCTTCACGTTCCTTTTCCAATTGATTACGATATTTTTCCCTTTCTAATGCTTGTTCATCGTTTAATGGCAACCAATAGATATATGGAATTGTTTTTGTCTTTCTAAATAAATCTTCGAGTGAATTAACAGGTGATTCACTTCTTGGTTCTTGATGACGTTGATTTGATTTTTCTTCTTTTTTCTCCACTTTTTCTATGATATACAATAAAAATTATAAAAAGGAAAAATTTTTCAAAAATCAATTACCTGTTGTTTTCGTAGGCTTATCACGATGATGATGATGGTGATGATGATGTTGATGATCAGATGGAGATTCAACTTTAGGTTTTTTCAGTTGCCGCTGATTGTCATCACTCTTTTCTTTTTCTTCATGTCGACTGACTTTAACAGCAACCTTATCTCTGTCCCATTCACGAATGTTCCCACGAGCAGCAGTAGCTTCAGATTTATCGTTGTTTTTGCCAATTGGTTCAACTTTAGGTTCTTTCATAATAATGTCATATTTTCCTTTATTTTCAGCGATCAATGACGATTTTTTTTCGACGTTTTTCATGGGAAGATCTTCATAATTTTCTGGATGAAGACATCGATCAATGTCTTCGAGTGTAGCGAATTCAACACAAAGATTTTTCGGGCTTGATTGTGGCCATTTTAGATTATGTAGATTTTTACGAGTTTCGACAGCTTCTTCGACACTCGAATAAGTTACATAACATTTAGACTTGATTTTATCTATCCAAAATTTTTCCTCATCAATTTCACCGATACTGTTCAACAATTTCTTTAACTGCATCAAAGTATATGGTCGAACCAAGCCTGTTATAAACAACACAGTTGATTCGGGATTCTTGGCCGGACTAACTGACCGTTGGCCGTTCGTATCTTCAATATTACCATTCTCTTTTTGCGGAGTCGCTACTTGAGACATTTCAACAACTTCATTTTTAAATGAAATGTCTACCTTTTTTATTTCCATTTCAGTTATTTCCATTGATTTTGGTTGTTGTGGTGGCTCATCAGTTTTATTGTTAAAGAATGTTTTGTCTTCGTTCGGTTTACTCACCTTGATGGCAGGCTGATCATTGTCCATTATCGAATCATTTATAAGTTGTTTAAGTTCATCGCTTGAGATTCCTTTTTTCAATACAGATGACTCGTTTGTTTGTGAACTTCCCCAACGTCGTTTTTTCTGAACAGGATTAGTAGTTTTCTCAGTTGATTTTTGTGTAATCATTCTATTTTTTATAATTGAAGTTCGACTTTTAGAATCATCTGATTTTATTTCGATTTTATTTTTCGGGCATTCTTCTAAAGTTTGTTCAGTTTTCGGTGGTGATTCACTTTCACTTTTGCATTCATCTATTATCGGATGCTCTACTTTTGTTTTTTGATCATCAGTACTATTTTCGGGTTTTTCAATTTCTTGATTAACTAGATCAGTCGACTTTTCTTCAGCATTATCTGCTTCAGATTCCATTTTGCTTTCTGGTTCAATTGAAGGCGATGGAATTTCTTTCTGATTAGCGTTAACATCATAACTGTCATTCTTCCGATCACTGTCGGGATCAGTGGCATCGCTTTGTGAATCTTCACTTTCAGAATCTTGTTGCTGTACTGGCTCTTGTTTTCTGGGACTCGAACGGATAGTTAATTTGATGGTTTCTTTTTCTTCATTAATGGATATTGAAGCGAATTTGGCGTTACTATCAATACTCTGAGAATTAGTACAGTCATCGATCATAGAGTCATCTATTTTTTCTGGTTGTTCATTGTCATTTTTTATTGGTTCTGCTTCATTAGTGATCGGAGGTTCTATCAACAAAATCTAGTCATATATTGTCATCAAAAAAAATAAAATTTACATACCTTCAACTACCTGATTCTTTGAATATAGAGCCTTAAATTTTACCAAAAAAAAAACATTAAAATTAAATCAAAAATGCGAATATGATATAACAAACCGTCAATAATAATTGTTGCAGCTGAGATTTTGTACCAGAACTACGAACACCACGTTTTCTGAGTTCTTCTTTTAAATCGACTACCCTTAAAGAATTTAAAGGTTTACCGTCAATGAAAATATTATCCGACATGATTAAAAATAATAATTTTCATAACATTCGAATATTTAAAATTAAAAATTTGAGCCGCATAAAAATTCAATAGCGCAAAAGAGCAAAGAATAAACAACATGCCTCATGTACCATTAGTAAATGATAGGACATAATTAACGCCTTAATATTCAAATATAATTTCCAATTGAAAAAGTCTACAGATAAATGATATTGAGAAAAATTTTTATTTCGAAATCGGATAAGAATCTGAATGAAAATATTAATTAATTTTGTTTTGTATTATATAAATCCAATATATATAAAAAAATTAGTGTTGAAGCAAAATGTAGAGCTAAACAATATATTTGTTTGAATAAATATGAATTGAAAATTTGTGCCGATGTGTTTTTTTTGTTGTTGTTGTGTAAAATGGTTGAGGAAAATATATTGATGATGTTTTTGATTAAATAGATTTTCTTTTGAATCATTTTCGATTCGGATTTCATTTGATTGGTGTGTGACTAGAAAAAAAATGTCCATAATTTAGTCCGAAAACTTTTTTTGTTTATTGTTTAGTATACAATAAATTCGGTGTCTATTTTAATTTTTAAGACCAAACGGACGGGTAAACATTTTTTTAGCTGTTATCGTGTTGAGATCACAGTATTCCATGAAAATAGATAATTTTTTTAAAAAATAAATTTAAATGTATGAATTAATGTAGCAAATAAGTAATTATTAAGTGGTAATAGCTGACAACATCATTCGTTCCTCTTCCGATAGATCCAGATTTCCTCTAAGAGTTCGTCGCACTATGTGAAGAAAAAAATAAATAAAAAACAAACATTTGTCAAATTATTTCATTTTTGATTATAATAACAAAAAAAAAACATACAAGATTTGCGTTCTCCATAACGAGCTTTTCGTCGATTTTTTTCCTGAGCTCGAACAGGTTGTTGAGTTGTTGATCGCACCAAGCTTTCAAGTATTTCATCATCAGCTTCACCATAAGATTCAACATGAACACTATGTCGGTATGTATGTATTCCTCTCACACCTGAACCATTTCCATTCATTACAAGATTATTCATCGAACCAGTCGATGGACGCCTAAGTTTTGTTCCAGGCAAAGTTCCCCATTTTGTAACGTTGCCATTATCAACTTGTGTCTCGCCACCAGTAGTGAGAATTCGTTCCAAATCAGATTCGGCCTGTTCTTTGGCCTTAAATTTGTCCATCTGTTTATTCGAAAAAAATATTCATCATTTAAATCATAATTAACACTGTTAATAGCATTGATAAATACCTCAGTAATCATTTTGCCTCTGGTTTTATTTCTTTCACGATGATTTGCTTTTTTCTCAATCTGTTCTCTAACTCGTTCACGAGTAGTTCGATATTCTAAAGCGAATTCGCTTATAATTTTCAACAAATGATTCGGTTTGTTCTCTTTGATTGCGCTTGAAGGCATTCCCAAGAAAACAAGAAATTTTTTGAATCTATTCATCACACGACGATGTATAATTTCTAATACAATAATACGTTGAGCACAATCAGCCAAAAATTCTGACATTTTATTCTTCATCGGGCTTGATCCATCAAATTTCGAAATTACCTTAAGATGTTCCCAAGATTGTTTACAATCTTGTTCCATTTTGTGAAGATTTTTTCCTAAATCATCAAAATCCACTTTAGAAGCACGTGATACTGCTCCTAATTCAGAGTAAAGATTTGAGGTATTTGGATATTTTTCCATAATCATTTGAGCCAAATGATGTAACAAAGAATGCTTATGAATAGTATCTTTAATCTCTGGTACTTTGGCTAGGTAATCAATTTGAAATCCTTTCACTTCGGATCCATTCAAAAAACTTCCAATTGATCGTAATGTTCCGAGTATAATTTTAAACGTTTCACTTTTTTCAAGTTCATGAATAGCCTGTTTTAAATCCATTAATGGTTCGGCTACTTCTCGTTCCATTTGTTCGTAATCTAATCTAAATGCCCATAAACGAAGTCTAGCCTCGAGAGCAGTGATTGATGATAGTGTCATCAAAAAAGATTCAGCTTGTCCTAATGGTATATCCGGATTATTCATTTCAGCTTCCATAATTTTATTTTTTTCCTCTTCCGTAGGCATCATAGTTGTTAAAATTTTTTCAATACCTTCACGATTCATGATCGATTGATCCATTTTGAGTATAGCCGTTTTGATTGTCCTAGGAGGAGGTAGTTTAGTCATGCCTATATTGATCGCATTGGAACGTTTGGTGTCGAGCACAAGAATTTCATTCTTTTTATTTGCATCTTGGGTTTTCTGTTCACACAAAATAAAATACAAAAATCAAAATATTAAAAATTTAGAAAACAAAAATACGCTCAACATTAATCTTACATCGAATCCCTATCAATTAGAGAGATTGACAATAAGTAAATTAATAGTTTTTTAGCAGAAGCGTATTTTTTATAGTTATTATGAATGAGCCACGTTAAAAGCCATCAGATTCACGAATTTGTGATCGAATTTATAATTAGTTAGAATGAAAAAATTGATCGAAAAGCATTTGAAAAGGATATTATTATTTAACTTAATTTTGATGAAAAAAAACTTACCTTGTTCATTAGTTCTTTGGTACGACTTTCAAAAAGAGTTTCTAATTTCTCGGTATCAACTGGTACATGTTTGATTTCATCCCAAATAGTTTTTTTCTTGATTATTCGACTTAAAAGTGATTTATCTTCTTTAACTTCTTTCCAAAATAATTTAATCGTTTTTTTGTTTTTGTTTTGTGATGATTTAGGATCCAATGGAATCGGTGGTGATGGTGTATTCGTATTTCGACCATTATTAATCGAAGACCAATTACCTAAACCGGGTCCATTAAACCGTGGTAGCGGTGGTGGTGGTGGCAGAAAACCACCAGATGACATTGGTGGTGGTGGTGGTGGAGGTAGAAAACCCCCAGATGACATTGGTGGTGGTGGTGGAGGAGGAGTTGAACCATTTAATGATAACAAAGGTGAACAATTGGGACCGATACCATTAGCGGTTGGATTACAGATATCAGTGTCATCATCGTCAACAAGATCTGTGAAATCCATATCATTAATGACTAGAGGGCGAGACATTTGATTGACCAACTGTTCCCATTGAAGATATTCAAAATTATTGGTAAATTTATCAGTTATTTGTTCTTTTTGGTGGATTATTTTGGGAACAAGATTCGTGTCTGACTGTGTGGTCTGTTGAATAAATTTTTCTTTCAAACATTTGACTGATTCGGCTGGTTTATTCAGATTAAGGAGATCATTGATAACAGTAGATGAAGGAGAAACTATATCAATTTTTCCATTACCATTCCAAAGTCCAGTAGTTGCTGTTGGAATTGGAGCTGGAGGCTTTACATAGTTGGGCGATTTAGGTGCATCATCTCCATTTGTTTTTCCATACATTAATGATAACATCCAGGTTTTTCTTTCTTTTAAACTTGGTTGTCGAGATAATCCTGAAGATGTATCGCCATTTTGAGGATGATATCCATTATTCAAGACAGATTTTTTGGTAGTCTCCCATAAATTGAACGATTCTTGTGAACCATCAAAATCATGAGGTTTCAACATTTCATCCGATGATTCAGTGTGATTCGAACTACGACTGTTTAAATCCAAACTACGATCAGTGTCATCTTCATTACTATCTATCGAAGGAGAATCGAAATTTTTAAGCGGATCGATCAAAGTTGCTGCTTTGGTGTCTTCATTACTGACATAACTGCCATAACTAGCATAAGAACCGTACGAATCGGCACTGCTACATGAAGAAATACTCGAACGTTGATTGTGGATTTCATGTTCTCGAGCTAAACTTTTTGAACGAAAATCTCGTTTCTTGAGATTGATATTAATTTCATCAAATCCATTTGATACCATTGAAGGATTGACATTTGGTGGTAAATTGTAAAAACTTTTCTTATTATTGAAGGTTGGATTCAAGGATGTTGATGATGAAATTGACTTGTTATTAAATCGACAAAATTGTGCTGTTCCATTACTTTGGCTATTTTTGATGGGAAAAGATTGTTTAACAATATCAATCGAATGACGTTTACTTTTACGACGGTCTTCATTGTTAGCGCTTGCTTTTCTATTTCGAGGAGTATGTCTAGAATCGAGTGGTAAGCCATCATTACCGTCATCATCACCATCTTCAAGTCTTAAAACAGCTTCATAGATTCGGAACTGCTGCAAAAGATCACGATCTGTACCATGTTTCGACATATAATGTTGAATAATTCGTTCGATGCCTTGTTCTTCCAATGCATCACAAACATCGTAATAAGTATCTTGATCCGGTATGCCATTCAATGTTTTGTTGATTAATGTCATTGAAAAGATTAATAGTTCGATATCGGCTGAATCTTTTTCATTTAAAATGCTCATTATATTGTTCCATGGTTTAACACCTGTTGAATGATAAATAATTTTTGATCAAACATTTTTATTCGGGAAATTTTATAATTTTATCATACTCTATTCATACCTCGTTCATTGTCAATTTGATGGATGCTATTGATCAATATCAGACAATTACTATCAACATACTCGACAAAAACTAATAATAATTTAAGAGCAGTTTTAACCACCAATCGATACTGAAAATGATAAATATTTTTTTTTTTGTTGTAGTAAAGTAATAACATAAAAATAGATGAAAAGATTAGCTTACTTCTGAAGAGATCAACGAATAAAGCCATTGTATGGTTTCCGGATGTTCGATCACACCATTCATACCATCAACATAAAGCATGAGTTGGCCAAGTGCTATTGTAATAAAAAAAATAAATTGTCGATATTATCATCATTATAATCATCATCATAGATAATAAAAAAAGGAATAATTTACCTCTGAGTATATAGTTCTGATAGTTTTGATCAGCTTCGGATCCAACTTTGATTAAACAAGCTAAACCATCATTACGGACAAATTCGTGTACTAGATCTTTGTCATCCTAAATATTTTTTTAAAAAATATATGAACCATTACACAGATTGAACTTATCGATGATCATCATTATTGCTTACCTGAAATATCTGTTTTAATGAGAACAATGCACGACGTAATTCCCTTCCTGAAGAATTTAAAAGTTTTTCTACAATAAATAAGAAAAAAATAATGAATTATTAGTAAATTAGAAATTTTAGCAAAAAAAAAAATCATTATAGAATATCCATCTATCCTGTTCCGGATAGATTCCGTGACATTGTTTTATCAACATCATCATCATCATTCATTACATTTTGAAAAAACGATTGGCCTAGCTACAAAAGATGCTAATAAGCAAATGGTGTTAATTAGCCAAATCATCAGCCATAATGTGTTTTAGTACAGAAAACAAAATGAAAGTAAAATGAAAAACAAAAAATTTCCGCAGATCATGATTTCTTTATCATCAAACATTTTAACATTAATCTAAACAGACTATTTAACACACGATTTGTTGGACGACCTGTGAACAACAAACTCGTGCAATATGATGACAAGGTAATTATTAATGTTTTAAATCATTATCATCATCATAATGAAATGAATCAGATTCGCAAATTTTTTTTAATCCGAAAATGTTTGGGTCAACAACGTCAATCATCATAAACACTGTGTGCAATTAATTCAGATGATCAGATAACTTTTCGTGCAATAAATTGTTGTTTTGGTTTTTTTTTGTTGTTCTCAATTCGTTTCAATATCTATGTTTTGGCAAACATTGTTTTTTTTTGTGTTGAATCAAATCAAATTAAACACTCTAAATCTAGGATATAAGAATCATTGAAAATCCTAGACACAATAGAATCACACAATAGAAATTTATTATTAGAAAGAATAATAAAAATTAATCAATGATATTTGTAACCAATGAATCGAAAAACCCAAAAATAATACACAAGTACAACAAGTTACCATTTTTTTCTTAGCTAAAATAATTTCAATTATATCTTATAAACTTATTGATAATAATGATCGAAAACAGAAGACAATAGTTTTTGTTTACCTTAATGATAAACAATTTTGCTTAGCTTAGATTATATCAAACAACCGTTTTTTTATGACAAAATTAATTGTTTTGGGAGATCAAATGGAATTATTACCAAGGAAAAAATAAATCATATAATCATATAGAATGAGGAAATTTGATTAACAACGACGACGACGACGAAAAAGAAAAACTAAACGAATCTAATATTCAAAAATGGTTATATGATCAATAAATTATCATACATATCAGTTGATCTAGTTTAATTTATCGTTTATGAATTAAAAAAAACAATCTGAACGATCATATATTTATTCATCAACAATACAGTGTTGTTTTTTTGATCAATTATTCATCAGATTGATTGATCAGTATCATTATCAGTTTATTGTTGTTGTTTTCTTTTTGTTCAATAAAATTGATCATAAAATTCAATTAAAGCTATGTTAGATAACAGAAAAATATTGTCCATTAATTTTAATCGCACGTTTAATCTTGGCTAAATGTTTGATGTGTGTTGTTGTTGTGGATAAATCTTAACTCGTAAGGTGATTTGTTCATTATTTGTAATACGATATCCATTTTTCGATTGTTTATATTTCTGTTTTTTTTGTGTTTAGTTCAAGTAGCAACCATCGAAAATGAATGATGAACAAATGGGCAAATAAATCAAAAAAAAAATGGGAAAAAATCTGATTCAATTTGAATGAAAATCAGGATGGATGTGGGAAAAAAGCATAAAATGAATGTGCACCATAGTTTTTTTTTTGGTGTGTTCATACATAAAACACCTTCATTCATTCACCATCAATATTTGATATTTTGTTATCATTTTGAAAAAAAAACAAATTGGACATTCCATTCAAACAACAACAACAACGAAAATGATGAAAAAAAAAATCATGGATACCAAGGTATTTTTGAATTGAAATGAAATGATCATCATCATCAACAACAACAACATTAACAACAGGTTAATTTTATAGCTTGAGTATTTTGTATTGGTGTTGTGTGTACGCGATGCGTACACATAAAGATTGTGCATCACCTAAATAACGACGCTTCCAGAAAAGAAACATTTTTTTTCGTTTGTTGTCGGCATGCTATACACAATATCGTGAATATAATACGGATTCCAAATGTCCGACTAACCTATCGAAGATGATTATTTAATGATAAAAATGATAATGGTTGATATTGGTGCAAGGTAATAGATTTGAAAAATTGATTAGACACTATAGTTCTAGCAATCTAGATTGAATCATATTGAATACAAATGATGATGATGATGAGAATCAGAATAGTAGACAAGGGAAAATTTCAAAGAAAAAAAATTATAAAATGATTGATTTTATCAGTTTTTTTTCTACATTGTTCTTTGATTGTAACCATCCAATTTCATGATGGAAAGCATAACGAACAATGTGGCTATTTTTTTCCATCTGGTTGAAAGAATTGATTTGATTTTTTTTCCCAAAAGTCTTTTGTGTAAAATAAAAAAAAAATGAAATGAAATTTGATATTGTTCAAGCATCATAGTTCGTAATATATTTACGAATGAAATGTGTCGAGGAACAGGAAGCTTAAACAAGAAAAACAAACAAACAAACATATCCGATAATGAAACAAAAAAAAAATAGTGAACATTTCTCATAACAAATCATTGTGTGTGTGTCTAACATTCATTAAATCAAATTTTAAGTGCCAATGGTAATTATCTTGACTACTAAATCATATCATAACAACACCCTGAACAATTGAACGACAAAATGTTTTCTTTTTTTTTGAAAAATGATTGTGATTATGAATGAAAAATTGAATGAATCAAGCGAGAAAAATAAAATAGAGGAAGCACAACTTGTTAATTAAAAATGCGTATCATACATTATATATTTCACATAATAAACTAATGAGAAAAAAGTATGAAAAATATTGTAAACATACACATTTTTAATTCATGAATTATAAAAAAAAAATCTTTCTTGTCCATCATTCACATTAACATAAATAAATGTAGTCCTATAAAACAACTAAAAAGACATTAATCTTCATTCATAATGATCATAAGTATTATATCGGTGATCATATCGGATATTATTATTATGTTTGTCGATATTATTCAGGAAAAAAATACTGATCATTTTAGAAATTGTATCAATCAATCAATCAATCAATAATAATAATGATCAAGAAACATAAAATGTTTGTATAAATGTGATTTTTTTTACTAAATAATGTACACTACCCGAACTGACAAACATTAAATAGGTAATCGATCATATATTTAACCATCATGATCATATGATGATAATAGTAATGATTATGATGATGATGATTATCATGGTCTTCGATCATCAAAAGAAAGCTTATTAAACTGGAAAAAAAGACGACGACAACGATGATGATGATGATGATGATAAAAATGACATTTTCGACAGCACGACCCTAGTTGTAATTTTTCTTTTTTCCTTATCAATTTTAACAGAATAAAACGGTATGATGATGATAAATAATACCCGGCTGTTGATGATGTAAGAACGATTTGATTCTATCTTTTTACTGATAAGAGTCACATTTCATTCAATCATCAGATTGATGATGATGATAATGAGAAGATACATTGATGAGAATATAATTAATAATACTAATCAAAAAAAAAGAAGAGAATGAGTATATCGTATGTTTTTTTTTCTTCTTCTTGAAAACTTAAAAAAAACTTTTCATAAGTATAATAGTGACCCGGTCAGCAGGGGTATTTGATCATATTAACATGTTTGTGATTTAGATCAAATATTTAATTGATTGGCTTTTAAATAATGAAGAAAAGAAACTTAAATAATATGGATTTTAATAGTGGGAAATTTTTTTTTTTAAAGAGAGAATATCTGATCAAATAGAATGAATTTATTTATTTTGTTTGGAAAAAAAAACTTTTTTTTTGTTTTGTTATGTTTTTCGAATTGAAATAAAGAAAATGATGAATCATTGATTGAAATAACAGGAATTGCAGGAATAAAAAGAAAAAAAAAATTTGAAATCCACTTACCAATGATAGCATGAACGCGTACCGATAATTGTGTTCGTAAAATGACGGCATTTTTGCGACTGTTTAGAAGAAAGAAAAATAAACAAAAAAGGAAAAATTTAAATTTAGTAATTTTAAAATATTTTTTTTTTTTTTTGACAACAAGATGATTTAAATTTCTAATATTATTATTTTGATTTCTGCTAACATGATAACCGAGAAAAAAAAATATCGTCAATAGAAAAAAGTCTATATTGGGATTCTAATAACATCACCCATTCGAAAATTTAGCCATTACCTTCCGCATCATTAAAGGTCGCATCACACACGACAAGTATGAAATGGCCTTCAGGTATATGGCAATGAGTGTGTGTGTGTGTGTGTGTGATGAAAAAAGGAAACATGTTTTCTTTTTCTTTTTTTTACCGTTCAATCTTGCCAGAAAAAAAATTGTCTTTGACATTAGGAAAAAAAACTACAAGGTGGACATATCATCCGAATCCAATCATTCGGTTGGAATAAAGCAATTCATCATCATCATCATCGTAATATTTGATTTTTCTTCTCTCTCTCTCTCTCTCTCTCTCTCTTTCTAGATGTTATCTAACTTTAATAATGATTTATGGTTTAATATTATCATTATTATTATTACTATTATGAAGTATTGATTGTATCGATAATCGACATTAAATTACCTTGAATGAATGATAATGATGAAATTATTTTATAAAAGAAAAATTGATTGGTATATATCGAATCATGTTCATCATCATCGAATGTGATAAATGATTACAAATACAGATTGGTTGAATGAATCGATCGAATATAAGAAAAAGAGTAATAAGCATTTAATTGTAACTATCGACTATCAACAACAACAACAAAACACGACAAAAAAAATTCCATGTTAGAAAATAACATTTATTGTCATATGAAGATGATGATGATAATAATGATAGACAAAAAAAAAATAAAGGTAATGAAAAACAAAGGAATCGGTTGTGTTTTTGTTCATCATCTTGATGATGAAGAGGAAGATGGTGTCTCCCTGTGATTTAACCCATTGGTCAACCGGTTTTGTTTTTTTTTCTACTGAAGTTTTCTTTCTTTTGTCCAAGATACAAAATATAATATTTTTTTTTGACAACAAAGAGTAACGATTTAAGTTCAAAAGTCAAAAGGAAATAGCAAAAATAATAAAATCGTCATAAAGCCAAAATTTTCTGGTTGTGATGAATGTTTGTGTATGTGTATTATATATCAGGTCATTGGCCGGATTTGAATCACATTCGAATAGAGAATAGCAATCTTCTTTTTCAAAAAAAAATTAAAGTGTTCAACTGGTGACGACTATCTATCTATCTATCTTATTATATTGTTGTGTACGTATTTACCACATTAAACACCAAACTATCATTTATTATTGGCTTGATTTCATGTAACAAACCTATAGTTGTGAACAAAAAAAAAATTTGGTGTCCGTTGAAGCGATTCAACAACAACAACAACAAAAACGAAATTAAAACCAACGTTTAGAATGTATTTTTTGTTCTCCACAATGATCACCATTCGAATCCATATATTTGTTGCGTGAGAATTTTCAAAAAAAAAAATTTGGCTTATTGCTGGTGTGAATAATAATAATATTTGAGAATGTGCCAAATGATTATCGAAATCAATAAACATTTAACGGGATTTCTACATTTCTGGGCCGTCATATAATTCCAATGATTATGATTAGTGTGTTCCGGTTTCAATGAAAAAAAAGAAACATCATAAAAATTTTTGATCCATATCAAAAACTATGATCACACATATAAATGATGCCAAATCAAAAGAAAACAAATTTCAATAAAATCCTATCCTATCATCATTATCATCTACCGATATAATTTCACATGACCCAATAGCAACCGAAAACAATAGCAATACCATTAAACATTGTTACAGATAGGAAATGAAATGAAAAAAAACGTAAGGGAAAATGTTCAAGTTCATGAACGTTAGCCAAGCAAACGTCACCGAACACAGATGAATGTGATGAGTTTATTTTTCTTCCAATGATCTATGAATTTATGTAGATATAAGTGATGATCGAGATAATGATTTGTTTGCATCATCACGGTGTTGATGATGATCAAGTAAATGGACGATATAAAAAAAACAATGATCGTTTGTGGTCAAAAAAAATATATGGAACAATCAAAAAAAAAATATGGATCAATTATTTGATGGCCATCGTTATAGGGAATTGTTAATTTTCAAGTATGGCCAAATAAAAAGAAAAAGTGTGGAAAAAATGATGATGATGATGATGATAATCATCCATTCATGATAAAATAAAACAATCCATAACAATATATTGATTGATACAATGAAGTATTTCGAGTGTATCTGATATTTTTTTTCCTTTTTTCTCACATCTTAAATATGTACGTATGTTCGTTTCATTCATTCATTCAGCTGTCCGCCAAAAGGTTTTTTTTCAAATATATTATTGGCACCTTGAACACCTTCATCATCATTCATAATTATCATCATCGTTTAAAAGGGCATGATAAATATCATCATCTATACGATCAAGGTAAAATTTATATTGATCACTTGACATTTGCTGTTGTTGTTTTTTTTTCAATATTCCAATGGATGAAATTATTAGAGGGGAAAAAATCCCAATAAAATGGATTAGCATTTTTTTTTGTTTGTTTGGCATCCATGCTGTGTTTTTTTTCGACAATTTATCCCTTTCATTCGTTTTGTTTTGTCAAATGACAAACAAGCCAAATCAATACAGTCGAAATAAAAGAATTTTTAATGTGAATAATTAAAATCTATTAAAATATTGAAAAACAACAACAACAAACAAACAAACAAACAAAAATGTAAACTCTTATGAATTAAAACATCGTTTTGAAAAAGTATATGCAAATACATTTGGACAGAGCATGGATTTTTTATTTAGAATGGTGTTCAAATGTTGTTGTTGTTGTTATTGGCGATGAAAAATTGACCCAATAATATGATTAAATCGTTTCTCCAGTCAGTCAGGTATAATGTGTGAGAGAATGTTATACAGATTTGTTTTCTTCCGAATAAACATTATTATTTACAATTTATATATTAATATAATGGTCATTCTGTCACGTTTTTTTTTCTTGTTCGTTTGTTTGTTTGTTAGCAAACTTATCGATAATCATAATATTAGCATCAGGATTTCAAATGAAATAAAATGATAGAGAAAAAAACCGTTACAATGATAATTCGTTAGGAAATTAATGATCATAAAATGATGATTAGGAAAAAAAATGTGGTGATTCACAAATGATCATCATATTTGTGTTCATGAAATCATATATCACTTTTTTTGAAGAAAATAACAAAACTGTACCAAACAAACATTAAAACATTTTCAATATATTTGTGTGTCGTAATTTTAATATTTATCCTAGATTATACAATACAATGTAATGTTTATGATGATACCATTTATTCGAACAGAAAAATAAATGACTTTTTAAAATATATATAGATAGAGTTTTTTCCTGGCCATCATAATCTATTTGTGATTATTGATGATGATAATCATCATTGTGGTCATGGGCGCAATGTTTTTTTTTTGCTCCCCAGAGAGTTATGTTTGTAAGCAAAAGAAGAAAAAAAAAGGGTGAACTATTCGAATAATCAACTTAGTGTTTGTGTGTATGTTTGGAATTTTATCTAGGAGTGATAACAATAACTTTTATTGTGAAAAAATAAAATATTTTCACATATATGGTTAGTATATTGGACTTTCTATTTATACTGATCATTCACCCATCAATTGGTTATAACTATAATCATCATCATCATCATAATCATCAAGAAAGATGATCATTTTACATTTTTTTTCATCTATCATAATGTTTTTTTTGAAGAAAGAAAAAACTTTATGAATTTTTGATCAAGGTTACTCTATTTCTAAATATATTATTATTATTATTATACAAGTAGTTTTAAGGTTGAATTTTGTTTGTTTGAAATTTAAATTTCAAAGATATCATCAAGAAAGAAAAAATAATAATCTAACCTCATTAGATATTAAATAGTGAATAATCGATTCGAAAATGATATGATTCAATCATTTTTTTTCGAATGATCAGAAAAAAATCACCTTATAAGATTATCATCATCATCATCATTTCGATCAGATTACTATCATGAAAAAACTTGGAATGATTTTCAATTATATTTATGTTCAATGAACATATTTTCATGGTATGAAAAAAAAGAAGAAAAGAAGCAGAAAGGGGAAAAAGGGAAATGTTTTTTTTTGACTTCTAAAAATGAATTCAAAAATACAATAACAACAAGACAATGTGATTGAAATAAAATGAAAAAAAATCTTTCTTGATTTTTTCCCCAGTTATTACATTTTGTATAATAATGAATGAAAAAAAAAATATTTTTGGAATTTCAAAAAAAAAAATTTAATTCAGAACGAAAACTGACAGTGAAGCGTGAAGAAGCAAACACACACACAAACCAGGTAGAGATTCAAACGTATAAAAAAAAGGAAGAAAATTTTCTATAATCAAAAAACGGATCGAAACCTGATAAGCGCAAACGAATTGTCAAAATTGAATATATAACTGGACGCACACGTCATATTATAAGATGATATGACGATAAAGTCCAGGAATATGACACATATAATGATGTATTTTTTTTTGTACAATTCATGCAGAGAGAAAATCATTCAAGCTCGATCAATCTTTTTAAAAAAAAAATTATGTCTTCGATCATCTAAAAGATCAAATTTTTTTACAACAATGAGTAGAAAGATCAAATCAATGCAAAAAAAATCGAATCGAATCAAATCAAATTGAATCAAAATTTCTTACCTTGATAAAAAGCCATCAAATTCTTCATTTTGTTCATCAATATTCATCTCCAGATCGATATAATTTCCATATTCACATTCATTTGTTTCGATATTGTATTTATATAATTGAAATGTACAATCTTCGAGCTAGATATAGATTTTTTTTTTGGATGAGAAATAAAAGAAACAAAAAAGATTTAAAATTAAATTTTGAAAAAACAACAATTGAATTAAATTGAAAAAAAAATATTCGAAAAAAATCTAATTTGTACGAGAAAAAAAAAGTTCGGTTAAAAAATTCAATGAAACCAAGTTAATTGAAAATTTTGAGTATCTTGAGAAACAAAAACAAAACAACAACAACAAAAAACCCAATGAACCGGTTTACTTGGATAATTTCGTTTCGCTTTCTGTGATCATCATCAAAATTATTATTATCATCTTTTTTTTTTGTTCTTCATCTTTAAAAGTTCTATTTTTCCCATCATTTTAAACAAACTACCCTAACCTGACATGTGAAAAAAATCGTATAAATTAGGTGAAAGCGACAACAAGTAATTTTTTTTCCAACTTCAAAAGGATTTTTTTTATTTATTATAAATTAAAACTAACATGAATTTATTAGGCAATCTTTTGTATCAGGCTGTACCAAAAAAAAGAAAGAAAGAAAGAAAAGATCAAAGGCTAAATCAAATCAACACATCTATCTTATCGTTTTTTTTTGCGTAAAGGATGTTTGTCACAAACAAAAATACGGTTTCGGCTGCCTGTGTTTTATATATATTAGATAAAGAAAAATAAATAATATTCATCACATACACACCACTACTCAAGCTGATTATCTATTCCCAAAGATTGGATTATATATTAACAACATTCGAAACGAATCGAATCATTTGCCTTTGACCTCATCCGATCTGATCTGATCGCTGGAGAGGAAGGAAAAAAATCCGATATAATCATCTAGTTTTGCAATAAATTTCTATGATTTTCTTTCCCTCTTAATGATTGTGATTGGATTTGATTTGAACATCTTCAACAATTACGATGAGGAAGGATAAATTGCATACGCACAAATTATTGAAAAAAAATAGATCCGTATTTTATTGTCGCCATTCGATCAACCACCACCAATCATTTATAATCAAATTCTTCATTTTGTGTGTCCAGCAATACAAAAGACCACATTTTTTTTGTTTGCTTGTTTGATTCCACCAAAATCACTTTATACACTGGAACACATAATTTTTAAAAAAAAATTTTAACTAAGGATAAACAAACAAATCTGGTCAAATCTGGTGAATAAAATCACATTCGGAAATATTTTTGTTATTGACCATGATCTTCTTTTTTTCTTCATTTGGACAGCACAGAAAAAAACAAGCACAAACAACCAACAAATCAACAAACATGACCGATAAAACAAATTTATTCAAAAGAAAAAACAAATAAATAAAATAAAAAAATGTGAATTCCGAAATCATGATGATGATGGCCAACCAAAATATTGTTTATTATACGAATCTGACCGAAGCAAGATTGTTGAATGAAAAACTGTTTTTTTTTTATTTTCCCGCATTTTTTTTCGTCGAATGTTTTGAAAAAAGCGTGATGTTAATTAGAGTTGAAAATCAATGTCATTATTCAAAGTTTGAATTTTGTTTTTTTTTGTTTTTCGTTTTCCCACTTATCCATTTTACATAACTGATTTGGAATTTAGAGTTAGATTTAGTGGATAACTAACTATCATCTATCCTAACCATATAGACGACTGAAGGGTCTTTTTTATATGTCATTTATATTTATTCATTTTTTTTTTTTGAAAAATTTCAAATTTCGTTCACTTTTTTTTAAGTTTTCATCATAATAATCATAGTTATTCTTTTTTTTTGGTACCGATAGATAAAATGGTACAAACAAATCAAGCTAATCATGACAATCAAATTAGTGGTGGATAGTTGAAAAACAATACACTAAATATCCTTTTTATAAAATGAAAAATTCAGGCCGAATATTAAAAATTCAGTTAAGTAATGTTTTTTTTTGTTGAATGATTATGATAAATATACAAGATGATGATCTATGAAGAAATATGGCATAATAATGAGACAGTCAAATCGGCTGACCAACCAACCAACCAACGATTGACTTAATACAACGGTAAAAAAGAAAAAAAATACCAAGATAGCCAGAGGATATACAACGACGACGATCAATTCAACAAACAGAAAAAAAAACGGTCTGTCGGTTCTAGTCTAGATCACCAACAAGTCATTTGTATATTTTGGTAAAATTTATTTTTTTATTAAGGACATCTAATGGTCTTTCTCTCTCTTGCATTGACCAATGTTGTTGCTGTTGTTGAAGAATTTCTACTTCCTACACTCAAAAGTCTATGATGAGAAAATAGCACCAAAAAATTGATGGTAACATTGATGATATTTTTTTGGAGAGAAAAAAAAAACATTGAGGGGTATGAAATTGAAGATTGAAGATGATGGCTAATGAAACGAGTTATCAATATCAACATAGGAACATAATCCAAAATAGACAGAATACTATAAGAGAGAAGAAGCAATGATGGGTAGTAACATTCATGAAACATTCATTGACATTGACATTCATTCATTGATATGACATTTAATTTGTATCTGGAAGTTTCATAAGGGAAAACGCCAACACACACATACACACAGGTAAACACATTACAAGAAGTACTATTAATTAAACGATATTAGAAAATCAACAACCGACACACACAATAAATTAAGGTGACATTATTCAGGAATGGCTTCTTCCTATTCACCTACATATCTACGAAATTTTTAGCAAAATCAAAATCGATTTTCATTATAAAAACATTTAAGATCAAATTATATGCATCAAACACACAAAAAAATAACGGAATTTTTATCCTTATCATTTTTGGGAAAATGATTTAATGTCATTTTGTATGCATAGATTTGTTTGTTTGTTGTTTTTTTCTCCAGTTTATAAATAAAAATCATTGGATGAACAAATCCTTTTTGTCCATCTCATATAACATCGTTGGCGTATCACTATTATCATCATCATCATCATTCTTTCGGAAAATCAGGAAAAAGATCTATGGTTTGCATATGGTGTAAATAAACAAACAAAATATTGTCCATTATCAGCTTAAACATCAATTCTTTACTACTATTTAAATGTATGTAAATTGTATTATTTAATGATGATGATAATAATAATAATATTATGATTGTAGTAAAAGATTCGTAATGCGAAAAAAAAACAAAATAAAATAAAAACATCTAACCAAGCTAGATATTAATCGTGTCGATGAATATCTTTTTCATTATTTTATTTGTAAAAAAAGACTAATCCAAACAAAGATGATATTTTATTCAAATGAAATAAAAAATAAAAATCCATCCATTATCTGATTAGAATCAAAGAAAATATTTAAACAATTTGAATAAACAAGACACAGGAACATAATTATTATATAATGTTTAATTTAAAATTAAACAAAACAAAACGAAAAATTTCATTGAACAAAACACACAACCAAAATCATAAAAAAAAGAAAAGATTATTTGATTATAAATAATTAATTGAATTCAAATCAAATCAATGATCATCTACACACACACACACACACACACACACGGAATCCTAGACACACAACACAAAAAAAAATTTGTGTAAATAGAACAGATGTTCAATGTGTTAATTGATATGATTATTAGTTTCCAACAACAACAACAACAACAACAGAAACAAAAAACAATCAACAAAAGTTATCGATACAATGCCAGTGTGTGATTTGCACTTATCAAAATGTATTTATTAAACAAAATAAAAAAAAAGATTTATCTTTTTTAATCGAACATCGACATATATAAAAAAAATATACAGATGTTCAAATAGTATTTTTTTTTACAATTCGCTTGTTTGTCTACCTATCGAATCACACATCACATTACATATTGTTACCGATGCGTTATTCATGGCAAAGAAAAAAATTCATTCATTCATTCATTCATCCATATGCGAAACATACACACACACATATAATTCACCTGTTGCTGTAAGTCAAAGTCATTCAAACAAAAAACAAAAATGAATGAGTCACGAATCATTTTTTTTCCTGTTTTTTTGTTTTAATCAATGAAATCAAACATAGAGGGGAGAAGAAAAAAAAGTTTGACGATTCACCGTTTTGGTATTGAATGATGTCTATATACAGATCGCATATATATGTACGGATACATGTGATCAATTGATGAGGTAAAAATATGAAATTCATTAGCAATTAAACAATTAACTAACAATGACATTATATTTGGTGAAATTTGATTCAATTATTGTTATTGGTAAAACAAAACAAAACAAAAAATGTGATAATGAATCATTTATTATGCATCGAAGCGTTCACAATTCGTTTCAAATTCGTTCGTTAATTGACACTGTCAAAATAGCATAGCATAAATTTTCCATTCCATTCCGATTTTTCTTTTCAATTTATCAAACAAATGACAATAGAAAAAGGGAAAAATATTCTTGATTATTTTTTTTCAGATGCAATACTCTTTTTTTTCCCTCCGCTAATCATTAAGAACAAAACAAATCAAAAATAGTCAATTGTCAATCAATCGATACAATTTACCTATTTTATTCCAAATAGACGTCATAAATTAATGTCAATAAATAAATAATAATAACAATATATATGATGTTTATGTAGATATTTTCAAATTTGGTTGCTATTTAAAAAGGAAATATACTTTTTTTTGTGGAGCCCATATCCATATTATAATGTTTAATGATAATGTTGATCATAAAAAAAAGAAAGAAAAACAAACATGATATAATAGAAATCATCATTAACGACGACAACAACAACAAGCGAAAAATAAAAAATAAACAAGAATGGTTTGCGTATGTAGGATTTGTTATAACAAGAAAAAAAATTGTGTGTTTGTAATATTTCGAAATCCAAAAAAGATTGTCAATTTTGGTTATTATTATATTTTGTTGACATTCATCACAAGTTAAACAGTAGTTAGTCATCATCATTATCCTAAAATATTTTTAAATGTTAAAAATCTGTATCAATAAAAGATGATGTAATTGGAATAATAGAAATTAAACTTGAATTCTTA